GTGAATACTGGGGCAAGGATGAACGCACACCACTTCAATGTTGCAGATGATATGGAGTCAGGGCCTGCTGCCTTTCTGCTGTTCTGCTTCCGCAGCAGATTCCTGACTTCATATTCCTCTATTTTAAAAGGAGGGCTTATAATACAGGACCAGGAGGGCAGCGTCAGCTGACCAACCGGTCCCTCCATTGTATTTTCAAAGCGACTGTAGAACGCATTAAGTTCATCAGGCAATGTAATATCATCAGAGATGACTTGAGATTTTATCTTATAGCCCGTGATCTGCTCTAGATTTTTCCATACACCATAAGTGTCATTGATCTTCAACTTATTTTCTAACGTACACTTATAATTTCCTTTTGCCTTTTTAACAGCTTTTTCAAAGTCGCCTTTGATGATTTTATAAAGCTCTTTATCCCCACTCTTAAATGCCTTATGCTTCTGCCTCCATAATTTTTTTATTTTCTTATTAAACCATGGCTTATTATTATTATATACGGTAACAGCCTTAGAAGGTACACACACCGTCTCACAAAAACTTATATATGAGGTAACCACCTCGGTGTACTCATCCAAATCAAAACATGACTCTTTAAAAACCGACCAATCGGTAGCCTCTAAACAGTCCATTAGCATGTCTCTTTCTTCCACAGACCATTCCTTGCCCACTCTCTTAATTGGTATAATACGATACACAGGTGATAGCACAGGTACATCTCGGAGACGTCTATTTGACATCTGCAAGACGTATTTTTTAGGGTGTTTGCTCATCTGCAATACGTCTATAGGACGTTTCCTATCAGATGTCAAATAGACGTTTAGAAGATGTCTTTAAGATGTTTATGATTTAGAATGTATGTAAAACTGAAATCTTAAAGACGTCTATCAGATGTTTGTACACAGCAGATGCTTTCCAGATGAAGAGATCTTTAACAGACATCTTGCAGACGTGCTATCTGGGAACAGACAGCAACATTTAATCCATCAAATGAAACTGCTGTCTGTTATAATCTGTTATGTATTTCAACCAGTTATGGTTTTATGTAAACTCTATTTGAATCCTCTGCAAGAGTTTAACTCTTCGGAGATCAGCGTGTTTTTCTTTGTTACTCATGATTTATTTTGGACATATCATGTTGGCCAGTAACAAGATGTTTTTGTGTGTGTGTTGCAGAAGATGAAGACTGTGTTGTGGCTCAGCTTGACTTTTCAAGAGACACTTTCAGCCAGACTTCATCTGCTCAAATGAGTGAATACAATGATCAGACGAAGATGGCTGGAGATTTACTGTGCAGCCGTACAAAATCACAAACCACAGATGTCACGCCGTTCCAACTAAACAAGGACTGTGCAACAACATATTTATTTGTAAAGGCCGACCCAGACACAGAGGACGGATGTGCCGTTGACCTTTCAAATCCTCATGCTTCTCCTAAATACACCAGTAAAGAAATAAAAATAGAGGATACTAACGAGAACTTTGACTCTGAACGTCACACTTTATTCAAACGTCCTTTAGAGCCAGAGATCAACTCTAATGACTGTGACGTTAAAGTTACAGTAGTGTCAGACAAACACCTTTATCATGTTGATGAGGGTGAGTGCAGCAGACATGCAGCGTTGGAGGAGGAAGTACGGGAGTCACCAGAGCCCGATATCATCTTTGATGAGTCCAATCCAGACAGACTGTCCGATGAGGGATCTTCTGGATTGCTTCATATGATGGCGTCGCCGCCAAACTCACAAGAGCTGAGACCAAACTATTCCTACGGTCAGTTTAACAAGAGCTTCAAGCACGAAGCATCGCTCAGCGTCCACTTGAGATCTCAAAGCTCGGAGAAGACGCACATCTGCGGCCAGTGCGGGAAGGGGTTCGACCGAGCCGATCTCCTGAAGAACCACCAGCGCACGCACACGGGAGAAAGACCCTTCGCCTGTAACCTGTGCGGGAAGAGCTACGGCCACCAGGGCCAGCTGCGCATCCACAAGAGGATCCACACAGGCGAGAGGCCGTACTGCTGCCCGCACTGCGGCAAACGATTCAATGAACACAACCAGCTTAAAGTCCACCTACGGACCCACACGGGCGAGCGGCCATACACCTGCACCGTATGTAGCAAAACCTTCACCAACGCCGGAAACCTGAGGAGCCACCAGAGAGTCCACACCGGAGAGAAGCCGTATGCCTGCGGCCAGTGCGGGAAGAGGTTTAACGGTATGGGTGACCTTAAAACACACTACCGCATCCACACGGGCGAAAAGCCATACCGCTGCGAGCTGTGCACCAAGACCTTCAGCCAGGCTGGGCATCTGACCATCCACAAGCGCATGCACACCGGCGAGAGGCCGTATGGCTGTGGTGAGTGCGGGAAGCGCTTCACGGTGGCCAGTAGCCTGAAACTGCACCAATTAACACACACCGGAGAGAAATTGCACACCTGCTCGCACTGCGATAAGAGCTTCAGCCGGGCCGGACACCTCAAGAGACACGAGCTGGTCCACTCCAAAGAGAAGCTGTATTGCTGCACGCACTGCGACAGGAAATACAGTGACCAGTCGTCTCTGAAGAAACACCAGAAACTGCACATGACGGCCCAGAATGAAGGCGACCGGAGCGCTGCTGCCGCGCTTGACACAGAGTAACGGTGACCAGACCGTAACGTGTTCCTGCATCTTCATTCATCCTCCTCATCATGTTCCTCAGTATCGCATCTTACAATAAACATGTTGAATCTGCTGGGCTACAGTGACTGTTTGATTGAAATGATGGTTCCTGTGATTGAAAATATAATTTTGACATGCATTGAATTATAAGGATCATGAGATCTGGGGCCGGTTGCACAAACTGCTTAGACTAGTCTCAAAAAGTTAGTCATCTAATTTTTTTTAATCAAGTCTGGTCATAACTTTTTAAAATAAGTTACAAAAAGGTAGACTGGTTACCCCTTGGCTAACTGCTAGTTGGTCAAACTAGTTCTTATGACACCGTCTTAACATAGTGGCTATGTTTATGCAACTGGCCCCTGATGTTCATCTCTAATACTGAACGGTTGTCATATTCATGTTTAAGGAATACCATGGCATTATCATGGTAGTTTTTGGCACGTTGCACAGCACACATACTGTACTGATGTTTGATAATATAGATAGGTCTTCATTCCTTTAGACAGTGTGTTTGTGTCTGTGACTGTATGAATTATGTTCATTAGAAATGAATGCTGTCGTCCTGTATGACCTCGTTTGTTAAATATCAGTTATGATGTAAGCACATCTTAGATTAAATGCAATTTAACTTAAGCACCTTCTATAAGATGTTCTCTATTGTATTGTGAATTAATGTGAATAATTTCAACTCCTCTTAAATGTTAACTCAAAGCTTCAGTGGCAGAATAAAGCTTTTTAAGTAGGTCAGTGTACTGTTTGAATCTTTAGATTTAGTAGTATTTGAGCTCCAGTGATCATTACTGAAGACCATACCGTGTCACTGTTCATTAAGCTCAGTCATATTAATCCTATATAGATGCTGTATCACCATGAATTTCTAGGCCTCTAAATGATTAACATGATCAAACTTTGCTGTTAAACCTGTCGCACACAATCTACTAGTAAAAGGTCTTTAATATAATTGTACAAATGTCCACCTTTAGCTTGTGCTTCACGTGTCTGTTTGCTGTCGAATCTTTACTGATTTTTGTCAAAACGTGACCGTAACTTTGATATTGTTAGTAATATGTCAAGATAAACACTTACTGGACTGTAGCAGCTTTGCTTTACTTCATTATTCAGACATCGTTTTATAGAAACATCAGTGTCTTAAATATGATCTTCAGGGTTTTGAGGAACGTTTGTTTCCAGAACCTTTACTTTCACTGTTCCTTAGTGGAGGATTGATCTTCCCAAGCCTTGAAAACATCTCAGATCTTTCGAGGAGTGTTTAGTTAATCTCAGTCATCATTGAATTGCATTGCATTATATGTTTTGATAATTTAAATATCATCTTACTAAGACATTTTATTGGAATAATATTGGAATATTATTGAAAGTATATCATTTTACATTTTATGTATCTGCTACACTCTTATAAAATAAAGATCTCATTGATTTACATAAACATCAGAATTTCAGCTTACTTTTTGTCCCTAAACGTATCGGCATCTTCACCAAATTGCATATTTTCGCTCAATTTGAGTCTCTGCCCTGTTGAAAAAACAGCATATGCTTGTTAGGTATGTTTTGAAGCATGGCTTTGAGCTGATTTAAGCTGGTCATGAGCTGGTTTAAGCTGGTCCTGAGCAGGAGCTAGTTGCTTAGGACCAGAACATGACCAGCTAAGGACCAGCTTAAACTAGCTCAAACCAGCAGCCATGCTTCAAAACATACCTAACCAGCATATGCTGTTTTTTTCAACTGTGTTAAGACTTTTTTAAGGTTTGTCTAAAGGATCAATACACTGTTTCTTTAAAATAATTTTTTATACTATTATTTCACATACTTTACAGAGTTAAATGAGCTGCTCGTGTAGTTTCTCATTGTCCTCCAGTGCCTATTAACTGGATTTCAACAGTCATAAATGCCTTAATCTCTTAACTGTCACCCCCCCCCTCCCCCCTTGAACATAGACTTTAAAGTACACTATTCAAATATTAAATTTTTATAATTCATGAACGGCTTTGAATACAGACCTAAGGTTGGTCTCTTTTTAAAGACAATCAGTAGATTATTGCAGAAGTGAAATCATTTAAAAAAATGTAACAAACCAGCAGCCATGCTTCAAAACATACCTAACCAGCATATGCTGTTTTTTTCAACTGTGTTAAGACTTTTTTAAGGTTTGTCTAAAGGATCAATACACTGTTTCTTTAAAATAATTTTTTATACTATGATTTCACATACTTTACAGAGTTAAATGAGCTGCTCGTGTAGTTTCTCATTGTCCTCCAGTGCCTATTAACTGGATTTCAACAGTCATAAATGCCTTAATCTCTTAACTGTCACCCCCCCCCTCCCCCCTTGAACATAGACTTTAAAGTACACTATTCAAATATTAAATTTTTATAATTCATGAACGGCTTTGAATACAGACCTAAGGTTGGTCTCTTTTTAAAGACAATCAGTAGATTATTGCAGAAGTGAAATCATTTAAAAAAATGTAAGTAAAATTTTTTTTTTATTTATTGTACAAATTTACTGTAAAGAAAATGTACTGTACTATTTTTTTATTTTATTTGGTATCAAATAAATATTTTACCAAATCGGTTTTAATCCAAATTTGGCATAAAATTAAAGCTATATGTTTAAATAAGTTGTGCTCCAAATTTGAAGTTGATATAAAAAAAACAATTGAGGTTACTATGCAATTTTGTTTAGGTGTTATACCACAAACAGCCACCAGGTGCCATCCAAACCCCATTGAATTTTTTTGATGCATTTGTCTGTCACATATGTATAAGTTTCTCTCAGTGTTACCCCTATCACAAAATATGATACCACCAGATATGGAATCTTGAGGCTCAGACCTTTCCGGTGATATGTATTTGGTCAAGATTCTAAAAAGTTTTGATTCCAACCATTGAATTTTTTTGATGCATTTGTCTGTCACATATGTATAAGTTTCTCTCTCAGTGTTACCCCTATCACAAAATATAAAAACCACCAGATATGGAATCTTGAGGCTCAGACCTTTCCGGTGATATGTATTTGGTCAAGATTCTAAAAAGTTTTGATTCCAAAAGACCTTAATACATTTTGTAAGGGGAAGGAGCCCACTAAAATATTTTAAGGTCCATTTCTATGGTAACACAATGTCTGATTTCAAAACGGTTTTCACAGGATGAATTTTGAGATTTTTAAGCTTTCAACCCCATTGAATTTTTTTGATGCATTTGTCTGTCACATATGTATAAGTTTCTCTCAGTGTTACCCCTATCACAAAATATGATACCACCAGATATGGAATCTTGAGGCTCAGACCTTTCCGGTGATATGTATTTGGTCAAGATTCTAAAAAGTTTTGATTCCAAAAGACCTTAATACATTTTGTAAGGGGAAGGAGCCCACTAAAATATTTTAAGGTCCATTTCTATGGTAACACAATGTCTGATTTCAAAACGGTTTTCACAGGATGAATTTTGAGATTTTTAAGCTTTCAAATGATATATAATATACAGTGGGTACGGAAAGTACCCCCTTAAATTTTTCACTCTTTGTTATATTGCAGCCATTTGCTAAAATCATTTAAGTTAATTTTTTTTCCTCATGAATGTACACACAGCACCCCATATTGACAGAAAAACACAGAATTGTTGACATTTTTGCAGATTTATTAAAAAAGAAAAACTGAAATATCACATGGTCCTAAGTATTCAGACCCTTTGCTCATTACTAAAACATGTGATAGGAAAAAAAGGAAACTAATAGAATTTTTGTGACAAAGGTCAGAGCTCCATATGTTTTGAGGTGCACTCTTGTCATAAATTAATCTATTACTGCTCCTACATAATTTTTTAACAACAAACAGGGGTAAAAACAGTCAGGTTCTTTTGCGAACGATATTCTACATCTGCTTTAAATGGTTGGGAGGCTAGCTTGCAGCAACTGTAGACTTTTTTTCTTGATTTGTATGATAACGATGATAAATTCTCTGTGTATATTTACATGCAATGCAAGTAGTTGTTCTGCAATAAAAAAGACAAACGTCGGTATTATATATTTTACTTTGGGAAAAATTACACAGACACAAATCATATTTTTTTATATTAAATATTCTCATATTAAGGCAAGTTTTACATCCCTAAATGCAAGTGATCTGAAAAGAAACCTAATATTATTCAATTTATATTGAAACAATGCAAGAAGCCGTAGGCAGAACTATAGACCTCTACAATTACTTCCCCCATTTAATTTGACTTTACATGTATACTATCTTTTTCTTTGTGAATTATTATTGATTGATATGATCAATAGTATTTTATGTTCGTTATGCAATGAGATCTTAAAAAACAGCTGACGTGCGTTTTATATATATTTATTTTTTAACCTTTTTATGTAAACTTAATATATTTATAATTTTTTTAGGAATTTATTTATGTCATGTTTATCTAAATAAAGCGGAAAAATATAGACCCCATTTTATTGATATTTAGCACAAGCTTGTTTTGTTTAACTTTATTCTTGAACATACAGGCGCCGTATTAAGCAGTACATAAATTATTGAATGAAAATGCTTTCTGTTACTGTTATAAACTCACTATTTATATCGGATCAAACCACACAGATGCCTGATTGAGCTTGCCATCCACTTTTACTACTCCCTCTTACGTGATGACGTCACACCAATACACAACACCCCCCCTCTACTTGAATATGAACTTACCCTATCTAACACATTCTCATTCACATCTTCTTACAACTCACAGATTTCAGAATATTCAAGACATGTAACAACTTTTTTTTTCTTCTTATCAGCTCTTCACAACTTCATAGAACATCCCAATGCTTTTAAAACAAATACATTGAACCATGAACCAACTCATTTGGGACCTTTTTTTTTGTTTGTTTTTTTACTAACATAACCTTTAATGTCCTTGGAACTCATTAAACTTAAATGTTCTCTCTTTTTTTCAGCATTTGAATCTCATTAGTCACTCAATAACATAGTCTCTAAGTCTTTCAGGAAATTTGATTTGTCGCTGAGGCCTGCACGGTTTAGGAGTTTGTTCCTCTTCCTGAATTGTTTCACAGTTCATTTTGCATTCCTCTGCAATTCCTTTTTGTTCCTCATCTGAATGTGGCTTCTGAGCACATTTCATATCACGATTCACTGTTG